AAGAACCAAGAGGCACACTGTCATGACTGTCTGAATTGGAGATTGTCCACTTCTTTGGGTCACTGGCTCCCAGTTCCTTGCATTAAGGAAGCCCAAGTCATAGTCCTGTGCCCCAACTACAAGGGGGCCCTACTTATTAGCAAGAGTCTTATGTCCTCTCCCAAAAATAAAGGGATTCAAATGCTGTACAGAAATGCCCTCAAAAAAGGGTCTATTATACTGTGTGAATTCCTTGAGAGCTGAGATCTTTGTCTTACTTACTGCTATTACAAATAAATGTTTATTGAAATAACTGGCTGTGACCAACTGGTATTCAAATGATCTTACACACATACACACACTCAATTTACCCATCAGGGAAATGAAAATCAAAATCCACTAGGGGACTTCCCTGGTGTTGCATGGGATAAAAATCTGCCTGACAATGCAGGGGACATGGGTTCAATCCCTGGTCTGGGCAGGTTCCACATGCCATGGAGCAACTAACCCTTGTGCCACAACCACTGAGCCCACACTCTAGAGCCTGCAAGCCATAACTACTGAGCCTGTATGCTGCAACTACTGAAGCCCACACACTTACAGCCTACATGCCACAACTACTGAGCATGTGTGCTGCCTAGAGTCTATGCAAGAGAAGCCACCACAATGAGAAGCCCTCGCACCACAATGAAGAGTAGCCCTTACTCGCCACAACTAGAGAAAACTCATACAAAAGCAACGAAGACACAGCATGGCCAAATAAATAATTTTTTTAAAATAAAACCACTAGGATGTCTATAATGAAAGAAAGACAAGTGTGTTGAGGATGTAGAGAAACACACAGCTGATGGAAATGTAAAATGGTGCAGCCACTTTGGGAAATGGATGATGAGGGAGTAGCCTGGAGTAGGATAATCAAAAATCTTTGTCCTCAGGGAACTCAGAGCAAAAAGAGAAGGCCCAGAGGATACCTGACTGATTTTGCACTACATATCTTTTAAGGATTCTGACAGTCCAAACTGAGCATTCTATAGACAGAAGCCATTCTTCCATCCTAACTACTGCTTCTCTAGGCCTTGCCCATCACCTCCCACTAGATAGTGTTGTGAGACTGCATTATCAGCCACTTGCTACCCATCTCTCTCTTTTCTCTCTTCTTCCCTCATGTATGCCAGCTACCTCTTATGAGTCAGCTCTGGCTGCAGTGGCTTTGCAAGCTCAAACCTACCCCTGAGCCTTATGTCGTTCAGAGGGGTTTTGAAAACTAATAAATATGTCAAGAGCTTTTCAATGGCTCCAACCCATTCTCTGTTCCTGCTGAATCAGAGGTAGGGGGAGTGAGGAGTCAAATCTTGAGTCTCCCTTTCCTGCCATACCAAACCCCTGAACACAGCCTAGCTCTCAGGGGGAAGCCTAGAGGTTTCACTTCAGATTGTCATTCCTTGGGAGATCAATGCTGTTTAATGGGGAAGGGGTTCCCAGGGCCACAGTAGTCTCACAAATACCAGCATTTCCAGCATCTCTAGTCTTAAGAAGATAAAGGGCTGGAGTCTAGAGATTGCCTAAAAGAGGAAAGAGAGTTGGACAGAAACAGGGAAAATTCTCAGTTTCTCCCAGCAGGGCTATAGGAACAAGGAAATAAGAGACCAGAGGATTTAGTGACCTAAAGCACTAGAGAGTCCTAGGGCTGAAAATAGAGACACTGGTGAGTGAGGGGGATCAGAGAGCAGGAGATTTACAAGTCTATACAAACCTTGGGGGAATCAAAGAAATGTAACAGTAGTGTCTCTGCCTTTAAGGGACTTGGAGTAATTTAGTGGTGAAATAAAAATTTGTATACTTGAAACAATTTGTAATTTTGTGCTAAACTGTGGGATTGACCCCCCAAAAATGGAACTCTGACAAGGGCTGACATCCTCTGTGAACTGAATGGCTGATTGAGGCAGTAGGTGTTCCCACAGGACTTTATGCTCTAGCTACAGTGGCTACAACTTTTAGAGATGAGTGTGCTTGCGTCTTGCATGTTTTACTGGAGGAAGCATGAGGAAGAAGCTTCATCATCATCACCACTTGTTAATCACTATCATCAACAAGAACCACAATAAATATTAATTGAGCATCCCTCCCTGAGTCTACACTTCTGTTTAGGGCAAACACAGAAAGAGTCCAAGGACTAGCACAAGAGAGTATATGCCAGTAGCACTAAGACAGAGGGGAAAATGAGAGATGGGGAGGTGAGGATAGGCTTCCTGGAGGAGGGAGTGCTTGAATTGCCCCTTGAAAGAAGGTTAGGAAAAAAATTTAAAAAAAAAAAGAAAGAAGGTTAGGGTTTGGACTAATGAAGAAAAGAGTGAAGGGGGTTGTAAATAGCCTCAACAAGGCACTGAGACAGCAAGGCAAGTATGATTAAGTGAGAAAACCTGTTGGACTGGAGCAAAGGGTGTGGCAGGGTAACGTGGGTGATGAAGCTGGAGAGGAAAATTGTGTGATGATTATAGAGAGCCTTAAATGTCAGACAGAACAAAGTAAGAAGGCAGTGAAGATTTGCATATTTGGGGAGTAACAAGGGCTCAGGGCTTCCTTGATGGCTCAGACATAAAAGAATCTGCCTACAATGCAGGAGACCAAGGTTCTATCTCTGTGTTGGGAAGATCCCCTGAAGAAGGGAAAGGACAGAGAAGGGAATACCCACTTCAGTATTTTTGCTGGGAGAATTCCATGGACAGAAGAGCCTGGTAGGCTACAGTCCTTGGGATTGCAAAGAGTCAGACATGACTGAGTGACTAACACTTTGAAGGGCACAGGGAAGGAGGAAAGGCTAAAAAGAAAAACATGGGGATTCTACATTCTTCCTAGCTTCAGTCTCCCATGTTAGGGTGATCAACTCAGCAAACAGAAGTTTGTCACCCTACTTGTGATTCATCTTGGGAAAGGTTTCCAAAGAAGCCCCCAGGAAGTTGCACACCACATACTTACTGTTGGCAAAGAATTTGGTGCCTTTTGGAAAGTCCCACTTCATCAACCCTATGTGTGAAGTGTTCTCTGATACTGTTGACCCACCTTGTGAAACAGAAAGGAGTCAGGATCAGTCTGCTAACCCAACTGCCACATCAGTCTCAAAAGGCAACAACCTTGTAGAAGCTCATCTGTGCCTGGATTAGCCCTGGAGGAAGGATGCAGCAATCACAGGAATGTTGAAAAAGCACCACCACAGCCAGACTAAGCCTTTCTCCAGGCCATCTTTTGGTGGCTGTGACTTGGCCATTCCTCACCTAGATTCTTTTTACTGACTTCCTGCAGCAAAAGGAGATTGGCAAGGCTCTGCTACATTTGTATTATTACCAAGAGACAGATGGTTTCTCTTTTCCCCTGGGGTTTAGAATTATGCAAATGAAGGCACTAAAACAAAAGCTCAGCTACTGGGGGAGGATTGCTGTTAAGAATCTAGGCAATTCTCAGAGCTCTTTGAGACACCCCTCTCAGTTTTTACTAACAGCTCACTTGGACCCTCTTCAGTCTATTTAGAGTTTGGCACCTCTTCAGAACCTTCCAACCAAAGACCTGAAAGTTCGTTCTAAAGTTCCCACCCTGGCCTCATTTTTCAAGTGGAGAAATCAAGGCATATAATATGGGTCAGTGGGCTGACCTTGAATCTCGACACCCCCTCTAGCTTTTTCTTTCTCCCTTCTGCTACAAACAGTCTCGCTTGGAAAGGAAACTCTATGGCCCGATTGCCTCCCAGTCTGTCCCCCACCCAACCGTAACAAAATCTGGAGGGCAATAGGACCTAGGGAGATTCAACCCTGAGGCCGAGAGAGACACACCTGCTTAACCGCGTGGGTTGAGCGAGTGTGGGAGCGAGCTAGTTAGGGAGGGGTAGAAGTGGGCGTCTGCTGCTCTGGGGCAAGAGGAAAGCTGTAGCCCCCTCCAGGGTTCGGGGGTCGTGATAAGAAATCCTTCTAAAGGTTGGCCCAAGCCCTCTTTTGTTGCGCCTCTACGCACCGAGCATCCTAAATCTGCCCGCCCTGGAAGTCGCAGACTGGTTTCGTTTGGTCCCAGATGTCTCTCCCATTCCGCTCACCCCCGCCCTCTGTGTGCCTTAGTTCCTGAAGTCACTGATCTCTCACAGCTGGAACTGCGGGCCGGCAGGACCCCGGCAGCAGACGGCGCCCAAGAGTTTGGTGACAATTGTCTGGCCGGGTTGTCACTCCGCACGTCGTGTTTTTCGCTAGCAAAGTTTCTCGGTGGAAAAGAAGCCCCTCCAGTTTTCTCTGGATTCTGTAGCGGACGCGCACGCCACTTCGCTCCCCGGTGACTGCCTTGGGGATGAGGCTGTGGCTCTGCTCCTGCCCCTGGTCGGGCTGCCTTGGGCGCGGAGCTTGGGGAATCCGAGAAGCCTACGTGAGAACCTTTGACTAAGCGCGGGTCCGGAAAGAGCGCCGGCGAGCAGGCGAGTTAATAGCCGCAGCTTAGCAATAGCTAAGTACCTGGGCACTGAACTGAATCCCGAAGGGACGTTCAGGCTGCAATCCCCACTTCTGCCCTGGCTCAGTTCTCGGCCGATTTGTGAGAGCACACTGGTCAGGGCTCCTTGAGAGCAGCTGCTGAGTGTGGGTGCCCCTGATAGATCGGCCTGCCCCGCTGCCTAGAGGGCTTGCGAAAGGCGGAACCGCCACCGAAACAGCAGTTCCCATGGCTCCTTACACGACTGGAATTGGACCCCTGACTGGGCGCTAAGGTGTTTGTTTTTGCCTTGTCCAAATTCCACAGCACGTGTGTTGACGACTGGAATCCCGGCCTAATCAAGAGTCAAGTTCAAAGTGGTACTCCTGGATCCTTCATCTCAGACTCCAACAAGTCTAATTTGAGACTAGATGAGAGGGATCTCCTGCTCTAACTAGAATTGGACTTGACAGCTTTCCTCACCAATACTTGGACTGCAGCTGTTACACGTTCTTTGGGGGGTGGGGGAGGGGCGGTAGTGCTCTGAAAACCAGACCACAACAGTTGGAACCTCAACAATGGACCAAGTTTTTGAAATTCCCGAAGAGCCAAACGTGGAGCCGATATCCTCTCTTGAGGAAGATGTCATCCGTGGGGCCAACCCCCGATTTACCTTTCCATTTGGCATCCTCTTCTCCACCTTTTTGTACTGTGGAGAGGCAGCATCTGCCTTGTATATGGTTAGAATCTACCGGAAGAATAGTGAAACCTACTGGATGACATACACCTTTTCTTTCTTTATGTTTTCATCCATCATGGTCCAGTTGACCCTCATTTTTGTCCACAGAGACCTGGCCAAAGACAAACCACTATCATTGTTTATGCACCTAATCCTCTTGGGACCTGTTATCAGGTGAGCAACTTTTGCATCTTTTCCCTCCTCCTCTCTCCCTTCCCCCCATTGTGCAGAGAAGGAAGCATTTAATATTTTTTAAGACTGCTACTGTGCCTCTAATTGAATCGATTCTTCTATTCCCTCCCACTCTTGACTTCCCTGCCTGCCATCCACGAAGTCTTATCTGCAGTCTTAAGTGCCATCACAATGAACATGTGGCATGTGCCTGTGTTCCAAAACCATGTTTAGTACCATTAATAAGACTTCATCTGACAATGTTTGCTATCTGAATTTGAGACCAATTGATGTGATCACCTTGTGAACACAGGCCATAGCTTTGGAGTATGTTATTTTGATCCTGCCTTTTAGATGCTTTTAAAATTGGATGGAAGTTCCTTACCCTCTCTGTCCCATCTCACATTCAGTTTCTTTACCCTGAGCTGCTTGGTCTGCTGTGACTGTTATTTTCAAATTTTCTGGAGTTATTTGACATCTGGGAAATATTTTAAGCCATTTACGCTCATCTGGTACCCCAACCCCTTGTAGTTTGTTTTTCCTGGCAGTTTATTGGTCCCCTGTTTATCCCTTTGTATCTTTCTGCAATAAAGGTACACAGTTAGAAGGGGCAAAGGAAGACAGTCTATCTGGATGCTGTAGCACAATATAATAATATTGAGTCTTTCCATTCCATTTGCTTTGAAAGGATAAGAATGTGCCTTATCCTAAGGGGAACAGGCATCTGCATCAGAAGTCTCATCTGGATGCTATGGGATTTTCAAGATAGAGAGATGTTGCAAAATTTATGAGGTCAGTAGGAAAGAATGGACCAAGTTTATCTTGATTGCAAGAGAAGCAGAAACCTGCAGTCAGCTGAGGAATATGGGTCATAGTGTTGATGCTGTAATTGCGATTGGGGAAATGTTTCATCATCAGAGACATAAACAGTCTGAAACTGGCTAAGGAACTCTACTCTTTAAAGAAAAATTTTTATCAATATATTTAAACAGGGAGTCATTGATTATGCTCCATCAGTGAAAATTTGAGACATCAACAGAAACAGTGGCCTGGAATTCAGGAGAGCTGGAATCTAGTGGGCCCCCCTTGCCCCCTCTGTCATTGACTAACAGTTATGTAGCCTTGGTGAAATCCCTGAAGATGCCTTGAGCCTCAGTTCCTTCATCTGTAAAATAAATGGCTTGGACTAGATCATGGGTCTCAAAGTCAAACACTTAACAGGGGCCAGGCAAGTATCACAAATGAGCAAGGCAAGACAAGTATGAGAAAAACAGTAGCTTCATGTGTGATGATAAATAAAAATGAAGTTTCATTGTTAAAGAAATGATGGAGAGTAGTGAGTACTGTGGCAATCTGGATTCCACAAGATAAGCCTAAAGGAGGCAACTGCTCCACAGCTCCAGTTCGGTGATTCCTTGTGGGAATTCAGACCCAATATCGCCAAGGCCCCAACTTTTCAGGAGAAGCACTCAAGACAGGATTTTGTGGGAAATAGAATGACTTAATATTTTGACAACTGATTTTGGTAATTAAATAAAAACACTGTCTGAGCCAAACAAGCCACAGCTGTTCTCCCGATGTGACTCAGCTGGCCTATGCAACCTCTGGACTAGGTAATCTAAAGGTCCTTTCCAGTTCTAAATCTCTGAAGTTAAGCTGTGAAAGGAAGACCTCATCTTGAACTTTGAATCAAGATGTCATTTAGAGATGTTATCAGAGGAGCAAGGAAACCATTCTTCTCTCCCCTTTCAAATGCAATCTATTGAATTAAAAAGATCAAGTGCTCTTTTAAAAAAATTATATCAATTGGAGGATAATTACTTTACAATATTGTGATGGTCTCTGCCATACATCAACATGAATCAGCCATAGGCATATATGTGTCCCCTCCCTCCTGAAGATGCGAATTTCAGTAAGTACTACCCCAGCCCCCCATTTTGACTTCCCTCTTTGCTTTGCGGCCTCCCAAGCCATCTTTGATTTGGACCATCCATAGTGTCGAGTACTGTGTTTCATTTTTATCATTTAACTTTGACTAGATATGATTGAAAAGCATTTAAAATCAATTAAAAGCTCATAGATCATATCCTTGATAATGCTTATTTTCAAGGCAAATTACTTTTTTAGGTAGGTAGGAACTTGATTAGTGCTATTAGGCACATGAAGGTGTTTGGAGGGCCTGACTTTCTTATATGAAATGCAAAGATACCTCTGGAAGTGAAAATGTATTCTCATGTTGTGCCATTTATAAGCAAGGCAAACATGCTTACGTAAACCAGTAAATAGCCTTAAGAATAGAAGCAGGAACAGGATTCTTCATGCAACACCGCCCCCCCCCCCCATATTTTATTCAGCAATAACATTGATGGGCTTGGGTTAAAATCTAAAATCTTTTGTTGGAAGTGCACGTACGCATTTTTCCTGACTCAGAGGAGAAAATTGCTTTTTTTTCTTCTCTGTTTTCTCCTCCCATCTTTTTCTCTCCTGGATTTCAGTTTTCCTTACAGTGTGGATGTTTCAAGCTGGTACACATGCACCAATGTCAAAGGGATCCTGTGGATAAATGATACAAATGAACTTATTTACAAAGCAGAAACAAAATCATAGGCTTAGAAAACAAATTTATGGTTACCAAAGGGGAAAGGTGACGGGGAGGGATAAATTGGGAGTTTGGGATTGACATACACACTACTATTTTTAAAATAGATAACTGGGATTTCGCTGGTGGTCCAGTGGCTAAGACTCTGTGCTCCCAATGCAGGGGGCCTAGGTTGGATCCCCAGTTGGGGAACTAGCTCCTACATACCACAAATAAGACCTGGTGAATCCTAATAATTAAATAAATATTTTTTTAAAAAATAGATAACCAACAAAGACTTACTGTATAGCACAGGGAACTCTGTTCAATATTTCATAATCGAAATAAAAGAATTTGAAAAAGGATACATGTGTATGTAGAACTGAATCACGTTGCTGTACAACTGAAACTAACATAACATTGTAAATCAACTATAGTCCAATATAAAATAAACATCTTTAAGAAAAGAGAGATCCTGTGGAGAATGGCAGCTGGCCAATGCTCTTTCCTATTAGGAGCCAGAGGTCTAGAGAGCATATAAATCTCTGAACTTGTCTTTGGTCTCTTTTTCTGTTAAATTTCATTGCCATTGTCATTTTCTCCTCCCATCACTTCTCACCCTGTATTATTTGCTTCCTTCTTACTCTTTTATTTACTCAGCAAATATTTATCAAATGCCCACTATGTGATAAGGGCAGTGGGTGAGATAAATACAGCCCTTAGCCTGTCAGGAAAGACAGCTTAAATTTCGACACAACTTTTCCAACTTATCATAAGAAACAGTCCACAGTTTCCATTCATTTCTGTGTGTGGGGGGGGGGTTGGATTTCAAATCAAAGAAAATTTTCCTCTTTTGTAGAGAAAGAATGAAGTTTAAAAGGCTGTTGTTCCCTAACAGGTCAAGAGGCCCCCAGAACAAGCTTTAAAGAGGTCTTTTGAGGTTCCCAGGTATATAGTACATTGGGTTCTGAGTTGCCAAGTCTTTTTAAGTACCCTTGTTGCTAAATGGCTTTTGTTTATATCTTTTAAATTATTTAAAAATTTTTTATTGGAGTTTAGTTGATTTATAAGCATCCCTGTGTATTTGAGAGGTTTTTTCCCAGATCCCCTCCAAGACTTTTTGGCTGAGATAGTTATACTTGTGGGTTTTGTCTTGAAAAAGCAGAACTCAAAAGACCTGATTATGAAGCTGGAAGGTTTGAATAAGAAACATTTTTCCTCAGGAACTTAAGGTGTTAGGAAAACCAGAGCCTTTTGGAACCTTCATCATTTTCTCTCAACACATATTAATGTTTTTGTATTCCAGTCATTTTCCTGTCATAGGCTTATTCTTAAGGAGACAAACCAATTTCTAAGTCCTCAAATACTTCTGAATTGGTGTTCTTAGGTTGGTTGATGACTGAATGAACACAAAAGATTTAGACTCAAGTGATTTGTAGAAGGCATGACCAACTGTTTGACTCATGAAAATTGAATAGAACAGGAGTGAAAGAATGGCAGAAAAGTATCACAACCTTCCTGAGTTATTTATCCCCCCTCACCACCAATTTCTTTCCTAGGACAGCTTTAGTTAAGTTCCCATGATGCTTTACTTCTGCAGATGTTTGGAGGCCATGATTAAGTACCTCACACTGTGGAAGAAAGAGGGGCAGGAGGAGCCCTATGTCAGCCTCACCCGAAAGAAGATGCTAATAAATGGCGAGGAGGTGCTGATAGAATGGGAGGTGGGACACTCCATCCGGACCCTGGCTATGCACCGCAATGCCTACAAACGTATGTCACAGATTCAAGCCTTCCTGGGCTCAGTGCCCCAGCTGACCTATCAGCTTTATGTGACTCTGATCTCTGCAGAGGTCCCCCTGGGTAGAGGTGAGTGGGGTCAGGCGAGGGGTGGGTTCCACTGAAATCAAGGGTCTTAGAAATCTAGACCTGAACTGTCCAATATATTGGCCACCAGCTTCCTGTAACTATTTAAATTAAAATTAAAAATGTACTTCCTCAGTCATACTAGCCACATTCCAAGTACTCAGCAGCTGTGTATACCTCATGATTACTGTATTGGTATTATAGAGCTTTCTGTTGAACAGCACCAATAGTCAACTTGCAGAGCCAGATATCTCAGGCCTGCCAGATTTCTTAAACCTGGGTAAAAAATGCCATAGATAAACCGTCTCTGGGCCCAGAAGAAGTGAGTAATACCAGCAGCCAGTAGGACATTTTTCCTACCCATAGTGTTTACATTGATTGAGGGTGTTTGGTTGGTTGGTATAGGGATGACTGCCTTTTAATAAGAGTTTCCCTAATATTCTGATCATGAGAAAACATAATCACTGGGTGAAAGCTCCTTTTATAACTTAAATTCCATACTCAGGCCTAAGTCAGTTAATACAGGAATCTGCATTTTTTGAAAGTACCCTGATTGATTCTGATCAGCCACTTTTGGGAATCACTGATTGAATAACTCCTTCCTTCCATCTCCAGTGGGGAGAAAGAAAAATGGTATGGATTGAATACTGGTTTGAGTCAGGCCTGGCCCCAGTTCTGACCTTCTCTGTGTTCTTTAGAAGAAGTTACCAAAGAGGTCACTGTCTTAATCTCCCATTTGTAAAAGAGGGATCCTGGGATGAGTAGACCTCTAGCAGAGGATGAAGTGTGAGTCAGTGTTTTCAAAAGTTGAGATAAAGTACTGTTAATGACTTTTAACAGCCTGAGATTAGCTTCATCTACTTGGGCCTGAGCTGGTACAGCTGTGGGTACAGCTTTGGACCATTTCCTTATTATTACCTGTTGACCCTGCTTCACAAAGCTCCATGTTTCAAATAAGTGTAGGGAGGAAATGTGTTCTCTTCTTTTCTCTGCTAAGAATTGTTCATGAAGTTTTGCTGGTCTTGAAGCTTTTTGCATACCTAGAATTGAAGGTAGTTGGGGAGAAAAATCTCTGGAAATGATTTCTCCTGAGAATTTTGAGGGTAAATAAATCACTTAATTAAAATATTATGCATTATAAAAATAATTCATGCACAGAACGAATGGCCTGCAGGTAATTGTATATGCACAGACTAATTCTACAAAGATATGCAAGAAACGATTTACTTCTAGGGAGGGAAAATGAGCAGTCACCTGGCTTTTAGCTTTTACTTTATACCCTTTTATATGTTTTGAATTTCTTTTCACCATGATCATGTATTACTATTTTTGGTCCTTATTTTTTTTAATTATAAAAATCAGACATGATTATGGTAAAGATTCAAAACTGTACAGAATATATGTAAAATAGGAGAGGTAATCTCATTTCCCAAAGGTAATCTGTTTACCATTTAATGTGTATCCTTCCAGACTTCTTTTTACTGTGTAAATATAAACATGTATACAATATATATATGTGTGTGTAGCTACCCTGGTGGCTCAGATGGTAAAGAATCTACCTGCAATGCAGGAAATGTGGGTTCAATTCCTGGGTCAGGAAAATCTCCTGGAGAAGGAAATGGCAACCCACTCCAGTATTCTTGCCTGGGAAACCCCACGGACATAGGAGCCTGGCAGGCTACAGTCCATGGGGTCACAAAGAGTCAGACACGACTGAGCACATGACCCATATATGTTTGCCCAAAAAGGACTGTATTAAACATTCTTTTCAGCAACATGTTTTTTCAAAAGTATACCAATGTTTATTCAATACTTAATTTTATATACTTATATAATAATTATATATGCATATATGATAATTTTGATACTATATATTTCTTTTATATGAATTGGACCATTCTTTCTTACTTCCCTAATCTTCTGTTTGTAGGATTAAAGTTTATTATTTAAAGTGTCTGTGTACTGGAATGAGATTCTGTAGAATAACTTCTTAGCAGTAGAATTGCTGGGAGAAAAGATATGCATGTTTAGAATTTCGTCAGTACTGCCAAAAGGTTGCATGAATTTGTATTCCCAAGTGTATGAATGTGCCTGTTTCTTCATATCTTAAGCTAAATACCTGTATAATTATAAGATAATTGTTTTAATAATTTGCTTTATGAGTGAAGCTGAACATCATTTCATGTTTGGATGTTCTGTTCTTATTTATATATGGTACTCACTTTTTCTAGTGTGATGTTTGTTTTTTCCTTATTCATTTGGATGAACTATTCACTTGTTCTGCCTATTCCTTTCCCAGCTGTGGATAAGTGTGTATGTATACATTTGTATAATGTTCTGTATGTGTGTACATACACACATTTTAAATGTGCATATATATGTCATACATGTAAGAGATGTGCAGCACACTATATGTAAGGGACAATATACTTGTATTTTCTGGCATTTTGAAGTATTAAATTTTTATATATTCAAATTCTTTATTGCTTTTAGGTCTTGTGCCTTTCTTACAAAGGCCTTTCACAGCTCATATCTGATAGAGCAGTTTAGCCTGATCTTCCAAACAGAATGAATTTTCAGTTTGTCAATTCCCCCACCAGAACACAAAACAAAGCAAAATAATAACAATGAAAGAAAAAACATTTTATTGAGAATGTGACTGGGATTGCACTCAATTACTTAGGTTATTTTGGAGGGAGTTTACATGTTTTGCACGATCAGTCAATTTCATGTTAGAAGATAATTGAACTCTCTATTTCATTTAATATTTAGAAATGACTTTATTGAGGTATAAATGACAAAAACCTCTACCTCTATCTCTTATTTAATGTGTACAACTTGATGAGTTTGGAGATAAATATACCTCCATGAAGCATCACTACACTCTATGCCATAAATATATAAGAACTCTAACAAGAAAATTACAGTCAATCCTGGGTATCTGCAGGGGTTTGTTTCAGGGACCCCCTATGGATACCAAAATCTGCAAATGCTCAATCTCTTATATAAAATGGTATAATATTTGCATATGACCTGTGTACATCCTTCCATATACTTTACATCATCTCTAGGTTACTTATAATACCTAATACAATGTAAATGCTATGTAAATAGTTGCCAGTGCATGGCAAATTCAAGTTCTGCTTTTTGGAACTTACTGGAATTTTTTCCCAAGTATTTTCCATACATGTTTGGTTGAATCTGTGGATGCAGAGGGCCAACTATATACAACTTGACTGAGGTACATTTCATTAAATATTTTTAAATATACTTCAGTAAAATTGTATCATTTTCTTGTTATAGGTCTTACACATTTTTGTGAGGCCTATGTCTAGGTGTTCTATCAGTTTTTAAATCACCTAATTTCCTAAGTGTCAGGGTAGTGCCTATGTAAGTTAAATGCATCTCCTGCACTTTAGGAAATAGAGAATGGTGATGATGATGATAGAGGCTAGCAGACAGAGTTTACTATGTTCCAGGGATTTCTCTAATGTAATTATTTCATTTAAATCTTCACAGCAATGTTATAAGATACTTGTTATTATCCACATCTTACAAATGAGAAAACAGAGGCACTGAGAAGTTAAACAAATTCCTGGAGGTTCCATAACTAATGGATGGCAAAAAGGATTGGCATCTAGGACATCCACCTTTAGAACCTATATTTCTAATTATGAAGTGACAATGTTAGTCACTCAGTCGTGTTTGACTCTTTGCGACCTCATGGACTGTAGCCCTCCAGGTTCCTCTGTCCTTGTGATTCTCCAGGCAAGAATACTGGAGAGGGTTGACATTTCCTCCTCCAGGGGAAATTCCCAACCCAGGGATCAAACCCAGGTCTCCTGCATTGCAGGCAGATTCTTTACCACCTGAGCCACCAGGGAAGCCCAACTATATCACTATACAAAGGTTGTAGGGGGAAGCTTTCTGCAAGGCCTTATTTTCAATTCTTTGGTGATTTCTCCTATTAAAAACTTTCTGAAGATACCCTCTCTCTTAAGGTTTTGTAAACTACTGTTTGGTTTCACTTTTCCTCATTTTCAGCCACCCTCCCATCTTCTCCTTGCTACCCCCCCCCCTTTTTTTCTATTTGCTCTGGGAGGCTATCTGGATCAGCATAGATGAGCAAATTCACTAGCAACATTATGACCTCTTATGGCATGTGTCTATTTTTAGGGAGACAGATGGAAGGTGTTTTTACATTAATTGGAAGCATCAGGCTTTCTACCTTTTATTACACTACTATCAACAAATGAGTTCTAAGTTAAGGGAAAGTATCACCACACTTGGCCAGCTATACATGTGCCCTGATGTTCCAAACTCCATAAGGAGCATCAACTAATGAGAATGGCACTGAGTGTGTTTTTTTTTTTTTTTAAACAGCCACACAGCCAAGAGTTTATCAAATAATCCTTTTGTACTCCTTAAACTAATACAATGTTATATGTCAATTATATCCCAATACAACTAGAAAAAATTATAAATAATTAAAAATAAAGCTAAGAGTAGACACTGAGTCTCCCATTCCAGTACTTGAGACCGCAACCCTATACTTAGAGCTGGAAAAGATCTTGGAAACAAAGCTGTGCTTCTTTTTGGCTTTCCATGGGGAGGTCTTTGCTTCTCTTGCAGATTAGATTGACATTTCAATGGCTGTAATTCCCTGAATCCAGTGTTTTTATGATAACAGAAAGCTTCAGTGTTTCTTTTGGATGAGTACCCTTGGACCCCTCATTCTCCTTGAGAGAGCTAGATCTTTCTTAGTGACCAGTATCCTTTGATATAAAGGAAGGAAGAAAAAGAAAGGGTCACTGAAGTTGAGACTCAGGAGAGCAAGTTAGGGAGCATACTGATCCTTCAGTGATATGGATGTTATGGGCTAGGAAATGGTTTTTAAAAAATTTTTAAACCATTCTGCCAGAAATTTGGGGATTCCTAAAGTTTACCACACCATTGATGTGATAAACTGGCATTGCTGGTGATTAATACAAGCAACTCTAGAATATATCAGTGACCTAGGAGATTGAGGCACGTAGATATTCAGTGATTTGCACAAGCTTCCGCACTGCTGAACCAAGGACTTCTAATCGTAGGTATTTTATTCTATCTCTCTAAATTCAGAATTCTTCATTAATTCCACAGTGTGCTAGGTTCTGGTGATACAGCAATGAACAAAATATACATGGCCCTTTCTGCCCTCTTGGAATTTCCAGGATATATTTTATATTCTAGAAACACACACAACAAGATTACTTCCTTGAAGAAGATATTCCTCAAAGCAGGGACTTCTATAACCAAAGGCATTCTCTCTGAGTCTTCTAAGACAGGATTTTTTGCAGATAGAGTTCTCTCTGCCTCCAGCATTGTTTTCTCAGGTTTCATCAGGTGGATGCTGCTTATCCCTTTATATGTACTCTTCTTGTGTTAGTGACCTCTCAGTGCTAGTGCTGAAAGTGTTAGTTGTGTCTGACTCTTCTATGACCCCATGGACTGTAGCCCTCCAGGCTCCTCTATCCATGGAATTCTCCAGGCAAGAATACTGGAGTGGGTTGCCATTTCCTCCTCCAGGGGATCTTCCCAGCCCAGGGATCAAACCCACATCTCCTGTGTCTCCTGCATGGCAGGTAGATTCTTTATGATCTGAGTCACCAGGGAAGCCTTCAATGCTTGTTCTGAGACTCACTTTTTTTAAATGTTTATTTTGCATGTTTATATGATTATTAAAGTATTACAGTACATGTTCATTTCTAATTTCATGGGAAATTTAGGAACTAGAGAAATGAAAAACTGCTACAGTCCCTATCACACAAAAATAATTAATTTCCATTTTTTTTCTGTGAATGCTCCTAGTTTACACAGCTGTGTTCATTCATAGGTTTTTCTCTTAAGCCCTCAAGTCTTGCCTATCGTCTCTCTGGATCTCTGGGTCAGAATACAAAGTTCATCAACATTGACTGCCTATTTTTTCTGTTTCTTCTTTCTTACAGCAGTGCTCATAGTCTTTTCCCTGATATCTGTCACCTATGGGGCTACCCTCTGCAACATGTTGGCCATCCAGATCAAGTATGATGAATACAAGATTCGCCTTGGGCCACTAGAAGTCCTGTGCATCACCATTTGGCGGACATTGGAGATCACCTCCCGCCTCGTGATTCTCGTGCTCTTTTCAGCCACCTTGAAGTTGAAAGCTGTGCCCTTCTTACTGCTGAACTTCCTGATCATCCTCTTTGAGCCTTGGGTGAAGTTCTGGAGGAGTGGTGCCCAGATGCCCAATAACATTGAGAAAAATTTCAGCCGAGTGGGCACCCTGGTGGTGTTGATTTCCGTTACTGTCCTCTACGCTGGCATCAACTTCTCTTGTTGGTCAGCTTTGCAGTTGAAGTTAGCAGATAGGGACCTTGTTGAGAAAGGACAAAACTGGGGACACATGGGCCTGCACTATAGTGTGAGATTGATAGAGAATGTGATCATGGTCTTGGTTTTTAAGTTCTTTGGAGTTAAAGTGTTACTGAATTACTGTCATTCCTTGATTGCCTTGCAGCTCATTATTGCTTATCTGATTTCCATTGGCTTCATGCTCCTGTTCTTCCAGTACTTGCATCCATTGCGCTCACTCTTCACTCACAATGTAGTGGACTACCTCCACTGTGTATGCTCCCATCGACACCCTCAGGGCAGAGTTGAGAACTCAGAGCCATCTGCTGATGCTGAAGCAAGGCAAAGCATTGCCTGATTCTATCTTTCAGATATTTGGGGATGGGTTGGGGGATGCCAAGACCAGCTGTAGAACTGAAGGAGATGATGAGGCTCTTGGGTGAATATCCACCAGGATATTTTTTTGAGTTTTCTGGTAAGCCTATCAGAAGAAAGAGCAGCCCTCAAGTAGATTTTATTTCCTTAAGATTGACTGCTATGTTTGAACACCAAGGTAACTACTACATATCTGGGAGGGTCAGAGATGTCATTCATATTCCATCCACCCTGGTCAGCTGTCTGGCTGCCCTGTGAGATACCTTATATCTATGCACCTAAGGCTGTCTGTGACTTTTAAGCTCTGCTCATTCACTTGAGCATTACTGAGCTTTCTGTGGACTGAACTGAATGACTCAGAATCCCACCAGAATATATCCTGACTGAACAGAGGATGTGACTGCTTACAACCTATGGGTACTGCCCAGGAAACTGTTTGACTAATGTGGAACCTGTAACTGTGAACATGGCTGGAGTCTTTCAATTCCAATGAGAAACAGTGATTAAGAGGTAAACCCCCACTATTGAAAGAGCTGTCCCACAAATGAGTTAGCTCTCCTTTAGGACTTTACTAGTGATCATTCATCAGGGATCTTTTTTTCCCAGCAGCCCTTCAAAGACACACTATGAGGAGGGAGTACAGAGTAGTATTCATTCAAGGTGTAAAGCAGCATGACTTTATCTTAGGGACCTGCATGAGCCTCCAGTGTGCTGAGTGGAGTGGTTGAGTCAAAGCTCTTACTTCTTGCCTCTTTATCAAGGATTCCCTCCAACCTGGCTTTGTTGTGCTCTTTGACCAATACTGATGTAGATCTCAGAGAAGTTGAACTGTAATTGAAAATGTTTCTAATGTGTAGAAGAAATGAAAATTGCTTTGTGTCTCCTTCTTTCCTGAGTATTTTGTTGATTCATTTTTTTCAGAGAAAAAGAGAGGTAATAATACCTAGGACATCAACTTTATGTTGTTTGGGGTTGGGAGAGTGGCTAACACCCCAAGGTGGAGTGAAGGCAGAGGAGGAAAACCAGATCATGTTAAATCATCATCAGTACTGCTTTCTGCCCACAAGATTTTGTTTTCTAATAAGGAGCGTGTGCTTATCAACCATCTGCTCATTCCTACACCCCCAGTGGAGGAATGCAGGTCTCCCTTCCTTATGTATCTTAATGTTTATATATCATATGAGTTGGATTGGGAAGATCCACTGTAGAAGGGATAGGCTACCCTCTCCAGTTTTCTTGGGTTTCACTGGTGGCTCAGCTGGTAAAGAATCCGCCTGCTATGCAAGAGACCTGTGTTCATTCCCTGGGTTGGGATGATCCCTTGGAGAAGGCAACAGCTACCGACTCCAGTATTCTGGCCTGGAGAATTCCATGGACTGTATAATCCATGGGGTTGCAAAGAGTTGAACATGACTGAGTAACTTTCACTCATATGAGTTGGGTATTTTGATGAGAAAGTCAGCTGGATGCCTCTAACATCACCAAGGATATGAAGCTTCTATGGCCACTGACTATTGGGACTGACTATCTTAGCATTTACCTAACTAATGCTTGCCCCTCACAGACCAAGAAAGTAAGATGAACTCCTAGTAGCATGAATCAGTTGTGCCCACCACAATGCTGTGAGGAATTGTGAACAATCTAAGCTAAGACTCCTCATTCTCATCCAGTCTTACTCTTGGGATCTTGGTAAGAATTTATCTTTTGCCATTTCTCCTCCTCTTATCTAATATTGGAAGAACTCCCTCTGTTAAGCAGCAGTGCATGAGCCAGAATTGTCCTATTTCCTGACATGTCTCGTGTGGTTTTGCCATCTTCAACCACTGTTTGGGGCTGAAAGGATTGGATACTTAATTTGGGGAAGAGTAAAGTGACTTTGGAGAAGTGGAGATTTCCTCTTTCAACATAATTCCCTCATTCCTCATCCTCATCTTTCATGATGGAGATCTAGGTGGTTATCATAAAAAGCACACACCACTGTCCTCTGATTGTTATTCAAGGTAAATTTGAAAGAAATAACCTACCAGATCTCCAGAAGAACACACTGCCTCTTTGGAATTCAAGCAATAATTTCTCCCTAGTGGTTAATGTGCCTTCTATTATTTAAGAGCAAGAGGAGTGTGGAGCTATAATTTGGTCCAGAAAAGCCATGTAAGTCAGCTACTTAAGGATCAGGTGCTATGAGAACATAGAGACACACAGTTGACCCAGGCAAGCCAATTGGAGCTGAAGTGGAGATACAGAGGGCAGAAAAATGTGGCTCACACCAGACTAGACTTATTTTCCTGCATGTATCCTTTCCATCCTCAGTGACTTAATATGCCAGGAATGCAGAGAGTTTAGGGTGAAGATTGTGGAGCAAGTTCCACTTGAAAAACCAGCTGCCCTTATCCACAGAGAGGAGACACCAGTGATACATTACACAAATGAACCTTCAGAACCTCCTATATAGGTGGTGGCCTTTCTGTTCCATAGCAATCTTATAGATGCACAGGAGATGCATTGTGGAATATAGGAGTAGAGCAGAGGAGTGTGCTACTTTCCATCTGCAGACACTTCTTTTATTACTCCTTTTTACCTTCTGAAATCTTAAAGCAACACAGGGTACTTTTAAATTTTATTTTATTTATTTTTAAAATTTTATTTTTAATTGAAGGATAATTGCTTTACAATATTGGGCTCTGTAACAACCTAGAAGGGTGGGAGGTGGGGGGAGGTTCAACACAGGGTACTTTTGTAGGGGCAAGTCTGAGTGGGAGAGGAGGCAGAGATGGGACCAGCAAATGGACCTTGGGAAAGGAGTACAGAATTACAAAGTGCGGGGGGAAATGCTAGACCATTGTAGCAACAACTATTCTTATGTCATTGAAAATTCAGTAGGCTAAGTATGGACAAATGAACATATTAAGGAAATGTATTATTAATAAATAAACTAATAGTTGTCAGTTTTAAAGACTATGGGCATAGAACCATGAGGCACTGTAGGAGAATTGAACGCTAGCTAATATTTATGAGCACTTACTATATGTCTGGCATGGTGCTTTATATGCATTATTTCATTCAATCTTCAAAACAACTCTTTTGAGGGTAAGTACTGTGATTCCGCATTTTACAGATGAAGATTCTAAGGCATAGAAAAGTGAAGTGACCTGCCTGAGGTCACAGATAGTGTCAGAACCAGGATTCAGTCTTGGGCACTCAGGCCCCAGACCTTATACTCTTGATCATGATGTAAACTTCTAAGTCCTCTTAAGTCCTTTGTGAAATTATTTTAATGTGTTAGTGGTTTTAAGAATAGTTTATGGACTGTGGCTGGGTTTATATCAAGCATGCTTTATCACAAATACTCCTTATCAAGGGGTGCCACTCAGTTCACTCTAGAGAAGGGTAAGTCCTGAAAAGCCTAGGAGGAAAACCGAGGATGTGTTCACATGCACTTGTAGGCTGGAGACTGAGAGGGTTGGGAAATGGGTTTGGGCAGGGAGGGGAAGGATGGTGAAGAGAATCATTTCCTTTCTAGTTTCAGGATTTTGACTCCTTATGTTTTTAGACACACACCTTCCAGATCCTGGTTGTGAAAGTAAAACTGGAGGGAGCAATTCCATTCAGGTTTGTATGACCACTTCCTCCAGAAATAACCAATCAGAGCAGGGGAGTACTGAAGCCCATTCTCTTATAATTTTCTCTGGCCAGCACTGCCCTTACTGCTGTTGAGAAGCTGACCCCCAGAGCATGCTAGAGAATGGGGACACTACAGAATAACACCCCTCCTGGAGCTGTCATAGCTCTGAGAGTCTAGGTCAACCTTGAGTGCTCTTTCAGTTAGCCCTCCTCATGCCTGCACCTCACAAGGCCATAGTCTTTAGCTTTACAGAACTGATTACTACTTCCTGGGATAGGGTGAGGTTGACGGCTGTAGGGTTGGGTGTTCCCCCAAACAGTCCATCTAAATCCATGAGACTCTGTCTCTGACAAATCTTCTAGTACAAAATCAGTTGACTGTGGACCCTCCAAAATATTTCCCAAGAGTGGAGATCCTCCTTCTCTCAAGTTTTTGCTTTTTGGGCTTTATTGCTGTTGGGAGGCGGGGATATTGAGTTATATCCTTTGAACTGAGAAGGAACTTTAAAACCTAAAAATGAAGCAGGCAACTCCATAATGTGCAATTATGAAGTTTATTGTGGGCATAGGCAGGATCTGGTGGACAATGACCCAGGGATATTCACAGCTGCACTCTGTGCCCCTGAAAGGGGTATGGGGGAGTTGAAAAGGGATCAAAGCTGAAAATAGAATCTGGCTACCAAAGGAGACACACATTTGCACCTATAGGAACCAGGGTTCTTTCCTCCCCCATCCAAGGAGTCTCATTATCATTAATCATCCAGATCAGCAAAAAGTATTCTTCCAGTTTTCATATCAGATGAACGCAAAGCTAAAAGTTAATAGGGAACTCAACTGGGTTGGGTGCATTCCTAGTGAGTAGGCTAAAGCTAAGTCATGCAGAGAGGGGAGGGAGTAGGACTCTGGCCCTAAGAGCTGACAAAATGGAGTCAGTTTGATTCAGCCACACAATTACTGTCTTCAGAAGATGCCTATACCCACAATTTTATGCCTTACCTCCTGAAAGACTGGCACCATCAGTCATATACTTCAGGCCTTAGAAACTCTGGGGTGCACAGTGAAAGTACGTTATGAGCCTTGGCAACAAAACAAATGCCATGTGAATCCAGGAAATAGCAAGGCCAGTCTGTGTAAGATATGAAAGCTACCTGCAAAAACACATTTCCATATATGGAAATAACATCTGAATAGCACTTTATAATATTCAAGACACACTTACACATATTAGTTCTTTTACCAATGTGTCATTGTTAGGACAAGCCCTCTGAGTTGTACACGTGGATTTGCATTGTTCTAATGGGAGGGATAAGTTATGAGGATAGGATTAACATATAGATACTACTATATATAAAATAGATGAAC